AACACTGAGCACCAGCAGAGAGAATTCAGCCAAGGCAGAGCTAGCATTCATTTGAGAATGGGAAGTGGTCAGACAAGGCTCCATTCTGAGTGGCTGCAGGGACTGTCACTCACACACAGGGAGGACTTGAGCAGAGGTCAGTGGATGCTCCTGGGTTACCAGGGTTTGGCGACCTGAGAGGCTGTATGGAAACCGAAGAAGAAGTTGGCAGAATGCTTTGGGTTTGGTGGATAAACTGAAAACAGCACCTCGATGAAGGAGCTGCAGAGAACCATTCTGAGAGGAATACAGTGCAGGCAACGAAGGATTCAAGGGTGCAATGGCTCAGATGAACATCATGGAGTTTGAGTCACTCATGGTCCACCTTTCCCTGTGTCCCCTGGAGAGATCCTACTTTACTGCATCTGTGCTTGAGTCCTAAGAAGAACTACAATCCCTTTCTCTGTCTGCAGTGCCCAGCAGCCGCTTGGATATAATCAGTGTCTGGTCTGAGGAGCAGGAAGTGTCTGTGTGCAGAGCACAGCCCTGCAGCCCTCTGAGCAGCTACACCACAGTCAGGCAGCAGCAGGAGGCAGCTCTGGAAAACAGAGGCAGTGACCCGGCAGGCTGAGTAACCCAGTTGGGAGGTGGTACAACCAGCACCTCCTGGTGGTGACCACAGTGGGTGAGCAATAGTTTATAGCAGCCTGCAACGGTTCTGGTGTTTCTGCACTATCAATGTAATGTCACCGTTTTCCTGTCTGTATTTGCTTATTTCAGTTATGTATACCTCAATCTTTGTTTACTCTGCCAAAGTTATGTCAATTTTAAGTTTTCATGAAATATACTTTCCAGTTTCTTGTTCAGTAGTGTCTGTGTACTAAATTCTATTTCTACCACAACTTTCAGTGCTTATGTTCTGCTCCAAATTTTCACTGTGCTTCCTTGTTTCACTTGCAGGTGCTTGAGATGCACCCTTAGGTTCAGGTGAAATCAGTCCTTTGTTATGATGGATGCACTTATTGCTGTAGCCTTCCTCTCTGCATACCATTTATGTGTCCTGTAAGTAAAAGATTATAAACTCCAGTGTTTGAACTGGTGACCGAAAAACAATAAATTGAGAGAAGTCAAGGGGAGGAGAGAACCTTGAGAAAATCCCAAATAGTGAAAAGAAGGAGACCAGAACAAAAGCAGAGGTTGAATGCTGAAATAATTGTTAGGTGGTGTAAGCCTGCAGTTTCTGTCAGTCAGGAGGCTGAGGCAGGAAGACCTCTATAATAATTTTAAAAATCTACAAAGACATGGAGTGAAAAATGAGAAAAAGATTAAGTAAAACACTTTGTTTTAGAAGAAGAAAGAATAAGAGCAGGTAAGAAGGAAGTAAAAAGTCATGAAGCATAAAACTACATGTGAAAAACAGAGAAGAGGCAGGAAGTGGAGGCACAGATTCCCTAAGGAGGCTCCCTGTGCAGTTCCTCAGGCGGGGACTTGGGGAGCATTCAGCTTCCTCCTCCTGGTACTACTGAGTCACTGAGTGGCCATTGTTGTTTCTGGGCCTCTGTTTTGTGACCCGGATCTGGAGTAAGCAGCCAGTGGCTCTTTCTTCAGAGTGCTGAACCCTTTAGTTCTGCCTCTGTGGGAAATGCTCTCTCTGCTGACTTCTCTGTGCATCACAGAAAGGCAGTCAGAAAACTCACTCAGGAGATGCATCCTCTAGCAGAGTAACCACAGCTTCTCCGGCTCCTGTTGGGGACACAGCTTGTTTGCTTTGCTGGGATTTTGCCTATAACTGGAAAGCTATAATCCTCTCATTAATTTTCAGAACAAAGAGGCAGGTCCTTTGGTGAAAGGAAATTAGAAAGATTCATTTAGGGAGTTAATCATTCACAAAATATCCTGAGTGCATTCTGTGGATTAGGAAGCTTCCTAGGCCTTGACAAGCAGTGAGAAACCCACACATGGGAATCTATGGACACAAGGCCAAAATTGCACAGGAGAAAACAGCAATGAAAATAAAATATAAAAAGTACAAAATTCACAATAAAATAATGTGATTACTAAAGGAATTGCTACTGCAACATGGGAAGAAGAGCTAGGCCAGTGTTTACATTGTTCTTTTCAGCCAACATTAAGAATTTATTAATAATCAAAATAAATGTGAATCCAATATTTTATCTTTGGTCAGTGAAAACATGAGCACGATTCCCACAGAGCCCCATGTAGTAAACTGTTTCATTGCTCTCTCATTGCCCCCTCTGGCACAGGGTTGATTGGACTTCTCTGCAGAGATCCTGCTTGGATTAACATTTCTGGATCTGAGGGGGGAACAACCCTGTCAGGGAACACAGAAGCTTTCGACTATATGTGAAGTTTATTTGATCATTCCTGAAAAATACCTGAAATCTTTGAGGTCTTGAATATCAGTTCTTTTTCACAAGATTGAGAACACTACTTCAAATCTTTGTTATATCCTTTGATTTCCTCACCTCCTATTTTGGTCCCTGTTCATCAGATGGTTACAGTTTTGTTTTGCATTTTGGTACCGGGAATTAAACTCAGGACCTCACACTTTCCAGGCAGGTCATGTGCAGCTGAGCTGTACCCCAGGCCGATCACCTGGCTTTTGATCTCGTGTGCAAGTACAATTATACACAATTTAAATTTTGACATTCAGTTTGACAAGGAATAATGTAAAAGTGTTCTAGTCCTGACATTCACATGATTGTACTTTCAAAATATGTACAAATCTTTTGTACTATGAATTATATACACATTTTGCTATTCATAAAACATGTGTGCACACTTCTGGGCAGTGAAACCCAGGTTTCTCACCTGAGTCTTCATCGTATCACCTACACCCATCTATAGAGTCTATTATTCATCCCTCAAGCTGCTTCATGTGACAAACCTCAGTGGAATCTGAACCTAACTTCACAGGCATTCATGCAGAAATCCTGGTCATCACTTGGGGAATCTCTGTTCAGTGATAGTTATATTTAGTTTTAGTATTGTGCTTAAAAAGGGTCCTTTCCATCTGTTTTGTTACATACCAAAGGAGAAAGTTCCTTGATGCCAGAAGGACATCTCTGCAACCATAGGTAGTGATAAGTTTTCATGACAGACTGATACACACACAGGTTCCCAAGATCCTGTTATATCTCCCAAATAAGGATCATGTTAGAAATTTTCAAAATTTAAAATTGTCTTTATTATTTTGAAATAAAACTCTTTATTCACAGACATGATCATCTATATACAAAGCAGGCATATTTAAAAATCTACTAGAACTATTTGAGTACTTAGTTTATCAAAGTTGTACAACACAAGGTCAATGTATAAAACAAATCTGTATTAAATGTACAGTGCTAGGATTTGATGCCAAGTACATAGAGCCCTCACAACACTAGCTGTGAGGTGTTCTTTCCATTTCCAAGGTGTTTAAATGCAGAGGCAGAGCATGATATCTTGATCTTAAGGGAGACACAATGCTTGGGCAGAATAAGCTTCTGGAAAGCTTTCTACATCCACATGTGGCCAGAGAAAATGTTCAGTGGATGGAAACCACACCATGTGTGTCTGCTCCTCAACAGTACCAGAAAAATAGTACCTAGGCTGATTGGAGAATGTGGTACTCACTCTTGCTGGCAGAGAAGTCCTGTAAGCTGTGTGCCTGGCGCATTAATACTCCATAAATACTTGCAAGTTGTCCTGCTGCCTACAGGATCTGAAATTACCACAAACCTAGTCTCACAGCATTAATCAAGAAAAAAAAAAGCCCTGCAAGCACCAGGCTTTTTCCAGCAAATTTTGGGCAGCGCCCAGGATTCAGCAGGGTCTAAATTGATGGGTGTTTTTAACTTTACAAACCTTTTCCCAGATTTAGTATGGGAAAATTTTCTCAATGCAAAAGGTCATTAATTCCCCTTCGTGAAAGCAGATATTATTGCTGACAAAAATTCTGTCAGTTTTCCTGTATTTGCTACCTTTGGAATCAACACCAAAGAATACACAATGTTCTGAGGTGTGTCTAACAGGAATACAATGCAGTTCTGATGATGATCACTATGCATATCTCAGAGCAGTGCCAATTTGCTCAGCATAATATTCAGGTGAAGCATAAATGTGGGGCTTCTTGTCAGTAATCTGTCTTTCCAGCATGACACTTGTTAATATAACACAGGTGATCCAAGTGCAAAACAAATGCTGATAACTAGTTAATTAAATATTGTTTCTGGAAAAATACAGTGCTTTCTACGTCTTGAAGTCCTAGAATTTACAAATAATGGTCAAAATATCAAAATCCATTGCAAATCCCTACATTCATATTTTTATGAAGTCATGAAGCATATGAATACCAAATTCCCAAAGATCATAGTCTCATAACAATAATGTAGGCAATATGAACACAGACCACACAACATTATCATGCATATTTGGTCATGTAGCAGAGGACATACACTTAAACACTAGAAGATATGTATCCATGAAGGCTAAAAGAGCATATGAACCCAGAATGCAAGCTAATGTGGCTCAAAAAATGTAAGAAGAGCCTGCGATGTCCCAGGAAATGTGCCAATAATCCAAGCTTCATCCATGGATGAAGCAGCACCATGTATGTGTAACTGCAGGCAATACAACCCTAGACAGGCAAAGTCAAGATTGTTCTATTTTGTATATGGTCAGTCACATCATAAAAGCACAAAAGAATGACATAACCATTTCTCAAAGTGAAAACAATGTTATCATTCATCTCCAGTGTGAGTCCTCTTGTGCTGTCCAACATAAAGATATTGGCACTAGGCTTTTGCATAAAAATGAAATTTCTACGGTTTTTAGCTTTGTGATTTCTCTGATTGAAAATTACCTCACAGACTACAATTTTTCCAGAGAGTTGACATTCACAAACCTTCTCTCTAATGTGTGTTTTCTCATGTGTACTTCTGGAAGAAAATAAAGTAAAAGCTTTCTCACACAGATGGCGTTCATATGACTTCTCTCTTCTGTATGTTCTCTCATACCTGCTAAGTTGAGAAAACTGCAGGCTGTTCTGGGGGTGTCGTCAATATATTGTCCCTGCTGTGTGTTCTCTCATGCTTAGTAAGGTGAGATGATTGAGTGAAGTTCTTCCCACGTAGAGCACATTCATATAGTTCCTTTCCTGTGTGTGTTATCTTATGTATATTAAGGTGAGAGGATTGAGAGTGGGTATTCCCACAAAGCTGACATTCATATAGCTTCTCTCCAGTGTGCGTTCTCTTATGATTTTTAAGGGTATTAGAATGAGCAAAAGCTTTGTTACACACATGACATTCATAGGGTTTCTCTCCTGTGTGTGTTCTCTTATGATTTTTAAGGACATTAGAATGAGAAAAAGCTTTTTGACACAGCTGACATTCATATGGTTTCTCTCCTGTGTGTGTTCTCTTATGAATTTTAAGGGTATTAGAATAAGCAAAGGCTTTTTGACACAGCTGACATTCATATGGTTTCTCTCCTGTGTGTGTTCTCTCATGTGTACTAAGGGTAGATGACTGAGAGAAGGCCTTCCCACATAGATGACATTCATATGGCTTCTCGCCTGTGTGTGTTCTCTCATGTATACTAAGGGTAGATAACTGAGAGAAGGCCTTCCCACACAGATGACATTCATACGGCTTCTCTCCTGTGTGTGTTCTCTCATGTATACCAAGGGCAGATAACTGAGAGAAGGCCTTCCCACATAGATGACATTCATATGGCTTCTCTCCTGTGTGTGTTCTCCCATGTACACTAAGGTTAGATAACTGAGAGAAGGCCTTCCCACACAGATGACATTCATATGGTTTCTCTCCTGTGTGTGTTCTCTTATGACTTTTAAGGGTATTAGAATGTGCAAAAGCTTTTTGACACACATCACATTCATAAGGTTTCTCTCCTGTGTGTGTTCTCTCATGTTTACTAAGGTTACCTAAAAGAGAGAAGACCTTCCCACAGAGATGACATTCATACGGCTTCTCCCCTGTGTGTGTTCTCTTATGATTCTTAAGAGTATTAGAATGAGCAAAAGTTTTTTGACACACATCACATTTATATGGCTTCTCTCCTGTGTGTGTTCTCTCATGTATACTAAGGTTACATAACTGGGAGAAGGTCTTCCCACATAGATGGCATTCATAAGGTTTGTTCCCTGTGTGTGTTCTCATATGATTTTTCAGGCTCTGTGAATTTTTCAATCTTTTCCCACAAAGATGACATTTATAATGTTTTTCACCAGCTTCTGTTCTCAGATGCCGGTAAAATTTAGAAGATTGATTGAAGATTTTTTCTAGTACACAACATTCATTTCCAAAGATAGTCATTTTCCGTCTTCCCAATGCAGAAGGATATGTCAAGGTTTTCCCACACAGATTTCCTTCAAAATGTATCTGCTTGCCCTGAGTGTTCTCCTGCAGTTTAAGTTAGAAACATTAGTTTATGTTTTAATAAATGAATTTCATACACTTTAGGAAATATAAGTTCAGAGCTTATAGTATAGCATTTCTTAAGTACATAACATTTATTTGTCCCATTTGACTATAAGTCATAGCGCTTTTCCTGAGGCATTAGTGGAGCTAAGAGTGTTTCTCATGTTGATTATATGCATCATTTCTGTGTCAATGAAATATACCATTGTCTCTTCATGTATGAATTCTCATTAAGGAATTGTTCACACTGTATATATACAATGTTAATGTAGATTATGATATAAGAAATGTATGAAGTCATACTAGTCAGCTAAATTTTTAGTTATTACAATTGATTGGTGCTTGTCTCTATGACATATATGTTTTCAAGGAAATCAACGTTGTATATTATATGCTAATACATCTTCATACATTATATTCACTAATTTTAATTCTAGATTAATAGGTTAATTCTAGAAAAATGAGTTATTTGTTACTTACTACTCACATTATTCAGTTCCTGATAAGAAAGGGTTTTTTTTTTCTTCAGTATTATCTCTAAATGATGACTAGGTTAATACTGATGATTCAAAGTGTCTCAGCATTTAGGTGAAACTGTACATTTTTTTGTTAATCTCACACATCATACTCCAGAACTAATGTTACATTGTAAATAATCTCCAGATACCCTGACCGTATGATTTACAGATCTTTTTCTTATCTCGCACAATGGAATCATACTGACAACCAAACTTTTCTCATTGAAAGATCTTTCCTATCTATGCAAGTTTTCATATATCTAAAACTTACCAAGGGCTTGATGGTGTGTGTTTTATTCTTATTCATAATTTGAATGTTTTTCATTTCCTCTCCTTCATCTGTGCTCATTCTTTCTGTAATAATTATGAAAATAAATAATTAAAATAAAGTTAATAAAATGAATATGATAAACCCCATAAAGTGCCATGTATCTGATGCTTTGTAAAGGACATTTATGTGCATGTAACAGTAAAATTTCCAGAATTCAATAAATGATAGAAATTGTACAAATACCTTCATTAAATTTTGAGTTCTCAGTAGTTTATACCAGAAATCATCTTGGAAATGTAAACTACACAGTACCTGATGATAATGGGAACATGATGTACCTCAAAATTTTGGACATAGTGATTGTGGTTATAAAATGTAATGCTGTATCTACAATTTAAAATTTTATACATCTAAAATATGTCCAGGAAAATAATGTTCCATATCAAATATAGAACTATAATAAACCAAAGAAATCTCAACCTAAATAATAAGATCAGAGATGACTTTACTGAATTATATGAGAACTGAAAAATATAAAGGATATAATATTTTATGTTTAAAATATTATTTTATTCTGTTACTGCATGTTTCCTCTATGTGAAGGTGACATTTATCTTGGGAGTGAATTACCATACAAAATATACTTCATTTCTTTTTTTGTTTTTGTTTTTCTTCCAGTACAGTGAATCGAACTCATGACCTTGTGCTTGCCAGGCAGTTGCTGTGTTGCTGAGCTAAATCCCCAGCCCCTTACCTCATTTCTTTTTAATGCCCTTTCTTTCCATCTCCTTCCCCATCTTTAAATCCCCTTTCCTCATCTTTAAATCCCCTTTCCCCATTTCCTTATTCATTTTTTGTTGATAGTAACATTCTTCAATCATGTTTTTAACATGTACTGCTTATATTCATTGTGGGAGTTCTGAAACTGTACATGGCATGTGGTAAATACCTACTGAGCCACCACTTTACCCTCCTCTCTGTCACTTGGACCATGTCACATATGTGAGTGAGCTATGCCATTTCTTTTGCTTTATCCAGTTTTATTTTTCTCTTTATTCTGAGTTTACATTACTCAAGTGAGAAATATCATGCAGTGTTTAAGTTCTGTTTCTGATTTAATTCGCTCAGTATTGTACTTCCCAGGAAAATCCATTTTGCTTCAAATATCTCAAATTCATCAATCTTTACAGGGGAGAAGTATCACATTGTGTACTGACACCACATTCTCTGGATATTGGCAATTGTTGATGGAGATAAAGTTTGATTCCTGGATTTAGCTATTATGAATTGTGCTGCCATAAACATTGGTATGCATATATGACTGTTATATGATGTATGAAGCATTCTTGGAAAAGTACTTCAAATGGGAAACACGGATCACATGGAATTTCTAGTTTCACTTCTTTGAGAACTATGCATACTTAGAAGTTTACTTTCTACCCACAATTTAGCTATGTGCCTTTTTCATCGTGGTCAGGGCAGTACACATTACTCTTTCACTTGGTCAAGATTACCACTCTTTCTGGTATAAGGAACCTTCATGCTGTTCTAGTTTGTACTTCTCTCATGGTGAGAGATGAGAAATTTTTCATGTGTTTTGGCCCATTGTAATTTTTCTGATATGTATTGCTTCATGCCTCTTGCCCCTTTCTTGATTGAGACTTTTAATACAGCTGATCTAATTTTTTCAGTCTTTGTATTTTTCACATTATAGTCTTTCATATAATGAATAGCTGGAAAAATGTTTCCCATTCCTTATGGGGTCTTCTTACTGGACTGATTCATTTGCTCTGAAGAAGCATTTGAATTTTATATAGTGCCATTTGCATGACTTTAAATTTTCTGTGCCATTCGTGTCCAGTTCAAGAAGAATTTACCTATACGTATAGCTTTAAGTGTCTTCCCTATTGAAGCTTAAAGAGGTTCAGTGCTTCCACTTGAGTGTTCAACTATTTAATGTATTTTGAGTTTGTCTTATTACATCATGAAATGTAATAATCATCTGCAAATAGACAACCTCTAAGCAAGTCTCCAGTCATCACTTATCGAGGACGGGTCTTGCCTCCAGAAGGTGTTTTTGCCCTGTTGCAGATGAACAAAGAGCTGAAAGTGTCTGTACCTGTTTCTGTATCCTCCATTCTGTTCCAGCGGAGGACACAATTTTCTAGTACATGTAATTTCTATCAATTTTGCTTTATAAACAACATCAATTTAAGAACTGAGATGGCTCCTGCCTCTCTTGTTGCTCAGGATTTCTTTTGCTCTTTTGGGTCTGTTTTGGGTCTATATGAATTTCAGGAGTTATTTATTACTTATTTATCTAATTCTATGGGGAATATTCTTAGTACAATATTTCAGAAATATGATTCTGTCCACAATTCAGAGAAAATGGTAATATTTATGTGCTCTCGTAAGTGTTACATGATTGTTTTTCATCCAAATGAGAGTTCATAAACCAAGCATAATATCTGTCAAATGTTTGAGTGCCCAACAAATTGCTCACAAAGAAAAGTATTCACAAACCAAAGTACTAATGAATTTTGATGGGTATGGTTTGAATCCTCATACTTGTATTTGAGAGTAGGCACGTTTTGATAATGCTTGTGCTGCTTATCAAGGACCATACACATCAGCCTGGATCTCCTCTATCTTAAAACATCAATCTCATTTTTACCTGGGGTCTGGTTTGGAGGAAAATCTTTTTGTTCTAGAATGCATAGAATTTCTCTTTCAGCTCTGTTGAAAATTACATCTGGTTTGCCGCATTCTTGTCCTGTCCAGAAGAAAATAGCAATGTGGACTATTAAGGTCACAAGAATAAACTTTTATTCGTTATCACACAGTCTAAGGGAGTCTTCCTAGGATAAATAAGATGAATGCAGATAAAGAGCCCAGGCAACCACAGTGGAAATCAGTGTGGACATTCCTCAAAAAACTTAGGATTAGAAGTTCCATTTAACCCAGACATTCCTCTTCTGCTTATTTTCCCAGAAGAAGTAAAAACATACCTCAGCTATATATGTGCACCATGTGCATAGTAGCACAATTTGTTCTAGCAAAATTTTGGAAACAACCCAAATGCCCAACAACTAAGGAGTAGATAAGAAAAATGTGATATTTTTATACGGTAGAATATTACTCAGCTATAATGAAAAATAAACTCAAGCCTTTTAGAGGTAATGGATGCAACAGAGACCATATACATAAGTGAAATAAATCAGTCCCACACCTGGAAACACTGTAAAGTCTCCCTAGTGTGAGAACATTAAAAAGCAAATAAAACTGGAAGGTACAACAGATATTGAAAAAGGGAAAGAAACTGTTTAAAAGGAAAGAACAACTGGGATCAGGGAAAGAAGAAAAGAAAGAGAAAAGAAAACTGAAGAGAAATATACATATCTACACACACATAATATAGTTAAGATAATTGTACTACTAATTTCTATTGATTTTCTGAAAGGAACAGTTCTTGTTTAATTGTTTGATCAATCTTGCATAGCTATATCTGGTAACTGGAGCAAGAACTTAGAAGAAAACAATAAGTAATACAACAACCACTGATGATTTCCTATCATCTACTTTTGAAATTCTGTATCATTTACACAATTCTGGGGTTCTTTTGCTTTGTGTGCATTTTTGTTATTTGATATTTTCTTTTCTCTTTAATATAATAATAAAACACCTCTGCAATGTGTTAAGAAGGAACATATTGTAGGTCTTTTATTAAGTTAGGAGAAAATCAACACTGTATGCCCAAGCTGTAGAGTGCTCAGGACAGTTGCGCTCCTCTGTGAATTTAAAGATAAGATAGAATTATCAGTCTTTCTAAAAGGATAGGCTTAAACCATCTGGGACAGAATGAATGCACTATGAGATAAAAGCTAAGAAGAAATACACCAGACAAACAAGCTTAAATATCGCATGAATGTGGCTCTTCTTTTAGAAAACCAAAATATAAATAAAGACAAAAACAGGATCATGAGAAATAGGAAGATACATCTTTTGCAAAATGTAATGGGAACCCAGAGTTGGGAGTGAGGAGAGAATAAGGATCTGAGATGAGTTCTATACAAGCACCGATTCTCCACAGGAATATAACCACGTATTGCAATAATGTGCTATTAAAACTGCAAAAATATAAAGAGCTCAAGATGCGCTCTAAAAGTGTGTTCACAAGGAGGTTGTAAACGCCTGCATGGTACAGTGAATATAACTTCAAATAGCCTAAAACAGAAGCTCCTCAAATATACACAGTCATTCTATTTTCACATCTTTCACATGCCTCATCATAATGTACAGAATATTACACTCATGTATATAGTAAGTGATATATTTATAAAGTTCCTCAATTTTAGTTTTCAGATTTGGTGAGCATTTGGAGATTTAACGACATTAAGTCATGAAATAATTTTATTTTATTTATTTTGCTTTATTTTCTGTTTGTTTTTTTGCTTTTCATCCGGTACCAGGAATCGAACTCATGACCTTGCTCTTGCCAGGCAGGCGCTGTGCCACTGAGCTAAATCCCCAGTCCACATGAAATAATTTTAAAGACTATCTTAGGGAGTGTAATGTATTTAATTTAAATGGAATTATCTTTGACATAGTTGTCATATATATGAACGAAACAGAACAGAGATTGAACAGGACGAGAAGTATGTACTCTAGAAAATGATAGAATTATTATGTATAGCATTGAACGTAGGTATATTCATATGTAGAGAGAAACTTGAATAAAAAAGACTCACCAAGAGATGCCAGGTTACCGATGTTTTCCAGCATCACATCTCTATACAGCTTTCGCTGGGGCGTGTCCAGTAGGGCCCATTCATCTGGGGTGAAGTTGATGGTCACGTCTTCAATGGTGATTGATTCCTACACACACATACACATTTCAGTTTAGACAGAGAAGTAGTGAAAACGTCTGAGTAAGTGAACTGAGAAGACAGTACTGAAATAGAGGAGAAACAGCACATATGGAGAAGCGAAGCTGTTTAGGGCAATAGTCCATTCACTGTTAGCACCAGACAGGGACCTAACTTCAGAGACCCACCCTGAAAGACAAATACTATAGAATGATACACTTCTTAGTGCACAGAGTTTTACATGAAATGTGATATAAAAAACGTGGTCAACTTCTCATAAATATATACTATCTTCATTCTGCACATTATTATAAAATTTAGCCTTGAAATAATGAACCAAAGGATATATCTTAATTATTTAAAGGAAGTTTAAATACACATCACAGTGAAACTTACTGCAATGTTTTGCCATTTTTGTACCCCAGTTATTGTTTATTCATCTCCATGCATCTATCAGATAGCCTTTATTTATTGAATGGTTGTATATTGTGTTGAGAATGTTGAAAGATCCAATATTTTCCCTATCTAAATGACAAATATTTTAAGTTATATTTATATTACTTGTTAAAAGTACCAGCAACACTGCAGGCTATTGATTCCATCTCTGAAAACAGGATAATTGTCCTATATCATAACATCAGATGTTACACACCACTCAACTCAGGAGAATGACGCACCAATGCAGACTCTTAGGCTGTAGTGGCAAAAGCTTCTATGATTTACCGTGAGGACTACTGTATCCTGAGCATTCCTGATCTCTGAACACGCTCAGCAGTTTCTACAATTTCTAAGCAGTGCCCTGACATTTTGATCTTTCAATTGGATTCCATACCCTTCTCCATGTCTTAATAAATCCTCCTTCAGGTACTGTATATCCAGTTTTTTAAAAAAATTATCAGTGTTATTCTACAATTAAATACAAAATTCAGCCATTTGTAAGGAAATAGATAAACCTTATGATGATAAAATTCATTGAAATAAACTGGGCAGAAAGATTAAAACTCACTGGGATGATCTTACATGATAATCTCCAAGTCAAAATAAAAAGAAAAGGAATGACAGATGATGAGAAATAGTGAAATTCTTCCTTTGATAAAATCAGGGAACCCAGGAAAGGAGGGAGGGCAAAGTGGTGGAAGAAGACACTGAAAACATGAAGATGTCTCATGGACAATTATCAACTGCACACAAGGAATGTATTCATAATGTTCTGCAAACACTGCAACAATACAAACTTCCTGAAAAGTATCCCTTTCTTCCATTTTCTCATTTTCATTTTTCTTGTTCTTCCTTATGTGTCCTTAGGTGTCTACCATCAAATATGCTAGTGACCTTATTGGTGAATGCTATCCAGCTATCAAATATGAAATTTGGTTAATTAACTTTTTTTAATCCAGTATACTACCCCGAATTTTCCCTCATTTAACCTTGTCTCAATACTTTAATATTTTCACTTGGATTACTTAAAAGCTATTGTTTATCACAGAAATTCCATTACATTGTTAACCTTTACAAATGAAATTTAAAACACACGTGTAGCAATTCTCAGAGGACATTTTCACCAAGATTTTTATGTACGTGGCAGTTTGTTGGACTACTAATTGTCTGGAAAATAACCACCTCTACTTGGAGAATATAAAGTAATTGCAGAAGCCAAAAATAACATGTATTAATCTCTCGATGTCTTAATAAATGATTATTAAAATATTTATATATGGAATGTCTTTTCTTAAATCATGATTATCTTTTTCGGTGAGCTCTTTATAAATATGTATGCCTGGCTAATCTTACTTAATGTTCTGGTCTCAAGGTGCATCTGATTTTCTACAAATGACACAAGCTTATTCTTCATTTTGCAGCATAGTCCTTTTTAGGTGTATCTTTTAAGAGATAAGATAGGTTAAAAATGATTTCTCAGTTCAAGTCTTCCTAAACTGTTTTAATTACCCTTCAGCAGGGCACAACCTCTTTAAAAATCTTTTTCATGCTGTAGATCACACAAGGAGATGAAGTATGCTGTAATATTTTGCTAGTTTTGTTCACCTGCAGTGCCTGCCCTCCCCATATTGCTAACAGTATCGGGGTGACTAGCATGGGAATGAGACAGTTAGTCCAAACTATTCCTTGAGCTGAATAAGAGAGAAAAATATTTGACATGCTTTTTGTACTGACAGAAACATAGTGTGTGTTATGATTTGTGACTGCATGACCCCAAATACTCATGCAGTCCTGGGTCGGGATTTTAGAGTTAATGATCGATCCGTGATCCAATGCTGGGATTATGGGTGTGAGTGCTTCTCCCACCCTGGGGTGGGCAGTCTGCATATGTGAGGGAGAGAAAGAGGCTGTTTGTGGCCACTGTACTCCCTTTTGCTCTCCTTGCTTTGCTGTTTGGCTGCCATGAACTGTTGCCCTTGGAGAAAGCAAAACATGGACTGAAACCTCCACAAACTGTAAGCTAAATAAACACCTTTTCCCTGAATTTTGGGTGTCAGGTATTTTGTCTCAGCAATGAGAGAAAAGTAAACAAGACAGTGTGGATGAATATATATACTCAAACAAAGAAAAAGCTTCACTCGTGCATATATACATATACATACACGATGGAGACCACTGTGAAGCAGCCCTGAGCAGGACTTAAACTAACCAATGGGCTCTTTCTGTGAGTCTGCCCAAGGCCTAGGCTCCATCTCTGAAGATGGGAGGTGGACTCATAGGAAGTGAAACTCTGTAAGTCACTGATCCCTACTAGAGTGTGGAAGGGCAGATGAAGCTGGAAAGCCTCAGAGGACAAGGCAAGATCACTGACAAGAACACTTGGATCTGATCTCAACTAGACAAAGACTACAGCCTCAGGGAAATCCCTCCTGGGTGGATTAGCTTAATACTTATTAAGGATTAATTTAATACCCTACATGGCCAAGTCCTTGAGAAATTTCATCTGTCTTGAGTTCTCCCCTCCCGTCTCCTGATGAACAAATAAATACAGACCACCCAGAGAAGGTTTTGGTTTTAGCCTCATGAGAATCTCAAATTCTGTGAGCAGGCTTTGATCCTCCTGGAGCCCTAAAATCATTACATTTGCCTCATTTTATTTAGCCTTCACTGCATACTCATTTGTGAGACTGATAACCTGATCAGTCCATAAAAACTAAGGGAAATTAGCAACATGATACATATACATATACTTATACATGTACATGTACATATATATGCATGTACATGAACAAATATTACATACAAATGATCTTCAGACCTATGATAACTCCCTCACCATCCAGAAAAACCAAACTGGACTTTAGGTGCCTTAATACCTATTACTTGTTCTTAATGTTTTGTTCCTTCATTTAGTAGGGTTGTGATTTTTGTTTAAAATGTATTCTGACTCACCTCCAGATGTGTTGCCATCTTCAGTTTCCTGTAGGCGTTGACTTACACGGTAGACAAGATAAAAGCATCAGAATGTGTGGAGAGGATTTCAGCCTTCTTGAAAGTTGGTAGAATGGTAAGCAGCGTCAAATCACTCTCTCCACGCTTTGGAATAAAGACACTGGAAGATACCAATTTCAGGAAGGTTACAAGCTAAAAGGCTTTTACCCTGCCCTCATGTCCAAAAAGATGGTTCACCAGTAAGTTCTTTGCATTTGGAAATCTCTAAACACGTAGCCCACTATCATTCTACTGCTAGAATGTTGATGATTCTCTGGCAATGATCAGGGCTCTGATGTCCTCCTTTGTCCAACAATGATAACAGTCTTGCTTGAATCAGATATTACCACAAAAGTGTAGCCCACAGAACATAATTACATGCATGAAGTTACAGAGGAATTTCCTTTTCCTTCTCTGCTTTTGAGTTCTTTCAAATTTGTTTTGTTTTTTTTTTTTTAAATTGTTTCTTTTTGGTGATAGTGAATATTAGGTTTAGGGATTTTTTTAAGTTCCTGTATTTGTCATTTCTTCTTTCCTTCTCTCCTGCCTTCTCTAGAAGTGTAGTGAGGGTTGGATTATCTTACTTTCACCTCAAGATATGCTTGCAAACTTTTTTCCTATTTATTTGTATTTTTTCTTCTTTTCCATTTAAAATTTTCTTCCTTTATTTACTATTCTTTATTTTACTCTCTGTATAATTTTTGCCCTATTTCTAGCTCTATTTTTAAAATTTCATTTTTCCACAATTTCCTTTTTTTTGCAATTCCATAGACACTCTTTTACTCCCCAGAGAGATGCTTTACACACATATATTCTCCACCCTTTCCAATCATTGACTGGAAGTTTCATAATTTTCCATTTGCATCACCAATTTCCAAATCTTAATTTAACAATGTACTCCAGAAACTTTATTAACTTCATCATTTACCTCTGTAAAGTTTCTGTTGAATTTTTTGCTACCATTATGAGAGAAATATTTTCTGTATATAATTCACATTAGCTGTAAGTCAATATGTAGTTTGATTTTATATTTCACTATATTTTGAATTTCTCCTCTAGGATTAAATGTTCTGTATAACTAGTTTTTATGATATGCTAACATCTAATTTCTCCTAGGTGATACTACTGTCGCTATTTCACATGATATTAATAGGGTCACATGATTGTCACTACTTCTGTTTCAGCCAATAATCAAAACACCTGTGTGACATTACCAATGCTAAAGTCTGATTCCTCACAAAATGGTTGTGGTGCTAAGTGCGCTGCATCCTCTGTTCCCAAAATAACAAGTTGTTGAATATAGGGGTGATGGGAAAGAGTATAGTTAGCGACACCAATAGAATATCATTGAAAAGCAAGTACAACATGGAAAAACAACCAAGATGATTGGTTTAATAGCAGCAAATTTGTTACGTTAGAAGCATCCGTAAACACGAGTGCAAACCTCCCCACCAAAAAAATTAAGTTGAAAAAAAGGCTTTAAATACTTCACAAAGCACCAGCATATCCTAAAGACATTCCAGTGGGCTCCAACATGCAGAATTGTACATAAGAACTTAAATTCTTTCACAATTTTAAGGGACAAAGACAACC